GGAGGAGGGTAGGAGGAGGAGGAGAAGAAGGAGGAGGAGGAGGAGAAGGAGAAGGAGAAGGAGAAGCTCACAGGACCACGGGGATGCTGCAATGGTCATAAATGTGAAGAATGGTCATAAGTTACTTTTTTCACTGGGAATGCTCAAAATAGTATGAATGGGTTTTAAACCAGGGAAGAAACTGAGTGTCAGGTCTGCCACCTTCAGCATACTTTGTTTAGCTGGCATCTTGCCCTAAAATGCAAATGGGAGAGGAGATTGGGAAGGAAACCGGGCTCAAAAACAGTAACCAGTAACCATGACAGAGATCTTGGAGTCCTAATGGACAATCACTTAAGTATTTAGAACAGAACAGAACAGAACAGAATAACAGAGTTGGAAGGGACCTTGGAGGTCATCTAATACAACCCTCTGCTCAGACAGTCCTTCCACCTGTTCAGGCAATATGAGCCAGCAGTGTGTGGCAGCAGCCAGAAAAGCTAATACGATCCTTGGTTGTACTGTATAAACTGGGCATAGATCAAAATCACATGAAGTACTAGTGCCGCTTTATAAAGCCTTAGTAAGGCCACACCTGAAATACTGCATCCAGTTTTGGTCACCACGTTACAAAAAAGATATTGAGATTTAGGAAAAAGTGCAAAGAAGAGGAACTAAGATGATTAAAGATCTGGAGATTAAAATATAAAAAAACAGTTACAGGATTTGGGTTTGGCTAGTCTAGAGAAAAGAAAGACTGGGGGGCCATGATAGCAGTATTCCAGTATTTGAGAGGTTGTTACAAAGAGAAGGGGGTCCACCTATTTTCCAAAACACTAGAAGGCAGGACAAGAAACAATGGTTGGAAACTGATCAAAGAGAGAAGCAACCTGGAATGAAGGAGAAACTTCCTGACAGTGAGGACAATCAACTAGTGGAACAGCTTGCCCCCAGAAATGGTGAGCACTCCATCACTGGACCTTTTTAAAAAGAGACTGGACAATCACCTGTCTGGGATGGTATAGGTCCTCCTGCTTGAGCAGGGGGCTGGACTAGAAGACCTCCAAAGTCCCTTCTATTCTATTCTATTCCATTCTATTCTATTCTATTCTATTCTATTCTATTCTATTCTATTCAGATCCAGCTTTGCTTATGCTGTAACCATTTGACTTTAGCAAAAGTGAACCTTTCACTTCAAAAATGGAGTCAAGGGTTCTTCTTTCCTAAACGCTCAAGCTGGGACAAGCCTGACACTGAGTTAAAAGATGTGCCCTGGGCAAGTTGGTGGAGGGGTGTAACCGTCCTTGTGTTGATCTTTGCCCGAGACATAGATGGTGTGTATCGTTCTCAATTCACAACCCTCCACGTACCTAACTTCAGCTGGGGCAAACCGGGAACCTCCTTTGCAATGGCAGCATAGTAGCCCCGAAGTCCTCTGTGGGCACTGAGGAGCAGGAGGCAGAGGTCTTCATGCCACTTGTGGGCATGTTGCCTGCAGTTTTCTGATGGGACGTAGCAGCCGCC